GACACTCTACCCAGGGGGACAGCTTGAGGCTCTGTCTCAAAAAAAAAAAAAAATTAGAAATAAGTTACTACTGTGTTTTATCCATTTTTCTCTTTTTTATTCTCCACACTACTTAAGTTCCTTTAGACGTAGTCACCGCCAGGTGCATTGTATGAATAAGGAATGTCAGTATGGCTTTGCCTCAGATAATGGACAGATGCCCAGGGGCATGGAAGAAACTATTACTTTTTATGAAGTTGAAGAAGGAGATGAGACTGCTTATCCATCTTTTCCTGTGAGTAGGTCAAAGGTTTACTCAAAAGCTGTTTACTTTTTTCTTTCTTTCTTTCTTTTTTTTTTTTTTTTTGAAGTAAAGACAGTGTGGATAAACTTTGAATTTTGTGTGAACAACCAAATCTCTTTCTGGAAAATGGGAGAATTTTTCTACCTGTTTTTAGAGAAGGGAGTTAGACAAATAATCTTGCCTGTATTGTATGGGCTAATATTTTCTGCTTTCTTGTTACTTCTTATTTTATTCTATAGTACATTTAAAATGTTTAATTACAGGCTTGGTGCCTGTAGCTCAGCAGCTAGCGTGCCAGCCACATACACCAGAGCTGGCGAGTTCAAATCCAGCACGGGCTTGCCAAACAATAATGATAACTACAACCAAAAAATAGCTGGGTGTTGTGGCAGGCGCCTGTAGTCCCCACTACTTGGGAGCCTGAGACAGGAGACTTGCTTAAGCCCAAGAGTTGGAGGTTGCTGTGAGCTGTGACACCATAGTACTACCAGGGCAACAGCTTGAGACTCTGTGTCAAAAAAAAAAATGTTTAATTACAGAGTTCTTTTGTAATAGCAGTTCACATTGTTAGGTTATTTTTTTAAACCAACTTTCAAATCATTCCTCTAGCATTTTTTCTTTTCTGACTATATAGGGATAACTGCATATGTATGTCTCTTTGGTACAGAACCATGGTGGTCCTCCTCCTGCTTCAAGATACTGTGTTGCAAGGCGGGGACATAGCTCAGGCAAACAAACTTTGAATTCAGAGGATAATAGCCAGAATGACAGTGGTGAGTTAATTACAGTTAAATATTTTTAAAAAGATGATTCTTGTGGCATTAGTACATTAGGGCTATGAAGTAGACCAAAGATTTAGTTTTGGTTGAAAGAGTTACAAGTTCTTGTCTCAGAGCTTGCTGGGTTTTTGAAGATGTCTGGGTATCTCTCAAAAGAATAGACTTCTATTTCAGTAGGCTACTATATTATTTTAAGTTATTTTCAGCTATCTTCTTTTTTTTCTTTTGCAGTTTTTGGCCGGGGCTGGGTTTGAACCCACCAGCTCCGGCATATGGGGCCAGTGCCTGTCCTTTTGAGTCAGAGGTGCCACCCCAAGTTTAGTGAGTTTTGATTGGGTCAGATATCAGTATGGAAAACGTATTCCTTATTAGTAAGACACTATTCATAGTTGTCCTCATCATTTGTATCACTACTTTAGCCTTTCCATGTGACCAAATTCTATTTTATAATATAAGATGGCTATGAAATAATGTTTTATTTTTTGAGGCAGAGTCTCACTTTCTCACTTGCTGTGACATCACAGCTCACAGCAACCTCAGACTCTTGGGCTCAAGTGATGATCTTGTCTCAGCCTCCCAAGTAAGCTAGGATTACAGGCACCTGCCACAACGCCCAGCTGTTTTTAGAGGCAGGGTTTTGCCCTTGCTCAGGCTGGTCTCGAACCTGTGAGCTCAGGCAATCCACCCGCCTCAGCCTCTCAGAGCTGGGATTACAGGCATGAACCACCACACCTGGTCCCTATGAAATAACTTCTTTGCCCCAAAACATCTGCTTGTTCTATGAACAGTAATATTTATTGAATTATTTTGTACTAAGTAATTTATACTCCTTACTATCCCTGTTAAGAATGTGCTCTTCGGCTCGACGCCTATAGCTCAACCGGCTAAGGCGCCAGCCACGTACACCTAAGGTGGCGGGTTCGAATCCCCAGCCCGGACCCGCCAAACAACAATG